GGGTTTGAACCACCAGCCTTCTGGTTAGCAGTCAAGTGCTTTTAGCCACTATGCTACCATAGCTCCTGGGCAAATGTATAGGCCCTAATATATAGTATAAATAGACTATCAAGCATAGCTCAAAATGCACAAACAGCAGAAGAGAAACCAGCTGACTGGGACCTTCTAAAAATTAAAGTTTTATATGCTTCCAAGGACTTATCCAAAAGAGTCAAAGAGAACCTACAGATTGGGAAAAAAAATATTTGGTAATGACATATCTGACAAGGGGCTTATCTCTAAAATTTATAGAGAACTCCAACACTTCAATAACAAAAAGACAAACAATCCAATTTAAAAAATGGGCAGAAGACATGAATAGACACTTCACCAAGAGGATATTCAAGTAGCTAACTAACATATGAAGAAATGCTCATGATCATTAGCTATTAGAGAGATGCAAATCAAAACAACAATGAGATACCATCTTTCTCCAACACTAGTAGCAAAGTTCAACAAGACAGAAAATAACAAATTCTGGCGAGGATGTGGAGAGATCAGGACTCTCATACACTGCTGGCGGGAATTAAAAATGGTACACCCATTGTGGAAAGCAGCATGGTGATTCCTTGAAAAGCTGAAACTAGAAATACCATTTGACACAGCTATTCCATTACTTTGTATATAACCTAAAGAAGTGAGAGCCATGACAAGAACAGACATATGCACACCCATGTTCATCGCAGCACTGTTTACAATAGCCAAAAGATGTAAACAAACTAGGTGTCCATCAACTGAGGAATGGATAACCAAACTATGGTACATACACACAATTGAATACTATGTAACCCTAAAGAATAACTTAGAATCTGCAAAACACCACATAACATGGATGAACTTGGAGAACATTATGCTGAGTGAAGTAAGTCAATCACACAAGGACAAATATTGTATTAGTCCAATGTTGTAAAAGTCAAGGAAAAGGACATGTTCTTTGTTGGTTACCATGGGTGGGAGTGGAGGGGAAGGAACACTGTTAGATAGATAGAGATAAGTATTGATTTGATTGAAGAGAAGGGAAATGTTCCAAATGTGAGTGATCATTATAGTGGCATTGAGGAAGGTAAAGACATAGAGAGGTACTTGGAAGTTATAGACAACAAAGATGAACCCTTTTGCACATATAGTACAGCGTTGTCAGTGAAGGCAAACATAGGTATATTGGTAGATAGATGGGTGGACAGGCTGATGAAGTGGGGAATGTACCCAAGAACATGTAAAGGGTTAGCAGACAATGGTCCTACAAGTTTATGTGTATGATCTGAATCCCCAGGTGTATAGTAGAGCTGACAAGGTACAAGGTTGTAATCACTGCTTGGTCACAGCCAGCTACCAAAAGGGACCTAGTAGTTGAACCTGTGGGCTTGGTCCCATAGTCGCAGGGGACATCAAGCTCAATTGGCATAACATAGTACACAAAACATTGTTCCACCTCCTACTTTGGCAAGTAGTGACTGGAGTCTTAAAAACTTGCAAGCTGCAATCTAGATGCAACGATGTGTATCTCCTTGTTCAGAGCAAAAAAGAATGAAGAAAACCAAAATTCATGGAAACAATTAGTCCTACCAACTGCTACACCATCCAGTTTTCAGCCTATATGACTATGAGACCAGAAGAACTAAATGGTGCCTGGCTACCAATGTCAACCACTTTGAAGGGGATCTGTGAAGGAGATCCTGGATAGAGAGGGAGAACAATGTGGGACAAAACTCAAAATTATTTGGAGGGAAAAAAAAGGGGGGGGGACAAGTTTTTCTAGTCTGATAGAGCCTGGTGGAACCACTGAGACTACGGTCCCTAGCTGCCCTTCTGGTCTGGAATTGAACCCACGCCTGTGGCTTCCAGCCAGCAATAGAGAGTTATATGAATTTAACATTTCCCTGAGGTAGATACACTTGGAGAGAACAATTATGGGAGAAAGAAGGGCTGCTTATGCACAGAGAGACAGCTCAGGGGGCAGGAGTGCATGGAGGGATGAACACAGAGAAGAGGTAACTATTGGGAGGAAGTGGGAGTGGAGCTGTTGCATTGTGGAAAATTGTGGTTAATGTCATGAGACAAAGTATATATGAACTGCTGTATGGAAAGTGAATTTGCTCTGTAAATTTTCACCCAAATCACAATTAAAAATATATATATATGTTTACTTATGCTTTATTGACTAGGTAGAAACATTTGATTGTGTGAATCATAACAAATTATGGATAACTTTGAGAAGAATGGGAATTCCAGAACATTTCATTGTGCTCATGAGAAACCTGTACATAGACCAAGAGGCTGCCATTTGAACAGAACAAGGGAATACTGCATGGTTGAAAATCAAAGAGGGTGTGTGTCAGGGTTGAATCCTTTCCCCACACTTATTCAATCTGTATGCTGAGCAAATAATCCAAGCAGCTGGACCACATGAAGAAGAAAGTGACATCAGGATTGGAGGAAGACTCATTAACAACCTGTGATATGCAGATGACATAAGCTTGCTTGCTGAAAGTGAAGATGACTTGAAATGCTTCCTGAAGAAGAATTACACCTCAACATCAGAAAAACAGAAATCCTCACAAATGGACCTATAAGCAGCATCATGATAAATGGAGAAAAGATTGAAGCTGTCAACGGTTTTCATACCACTTTTTTCCACAATCAACACCAATGGAGTAGTCAAGAAGTAAGATGATGTATTGCCCTGGGCAAATTTGCTGCAAAAGACCTGTTTAAAGTGCTGATGAGCAAAGATGTCTCTTTGAATGCTAAAGTGCACCTAACCCAAGCCATGGTGTTTTCATTCTCCACATATGCCTGTGAAAACTGGACAATGAATGAATAAGGAAGATTGAAGAAGAGATGATGCTTTTGAGTTGTGGTGTTGTTGAAAAATACTGAAAGTATGAACTGCCAGAACAACTTACAAATCCATCCTGGAAGAAGTGCAGCCAGAATGCTCCTTGAAAGCGAGAATGGCTAGACTTTGTCTCACCTACTTTGGTCATGTTGTCAGCAAGGACCATTTCCTGGAGAAGGATATCATGCTTAGTAAAGTGGAGGGTCAGCCAAAAAGGGGAAGACCCTGAACGTGATGGATTGACAGTGGCTGCAACAGTAGGTTCAAGTATAGTAAGGATTGTAAGGATGCGGCGGGATCTGGCAGTGTTTTGTTGTGTTGTCCATAGAGTCACTATGAGCCATAACTATCTTGACAGCACCTAACAACAAAAACAACATGAGTCAGAATGAATTCTACAACAAAATTCTTTTTTTTATTTTTTTGGTTTATAATTTTAGAAATTCATGAATCAAAAAAAATATTTGAAAACTAACTCTAGCCTATGTAGCCTTACTTCAGTCAAATGTTCTGTAATCTTTGTGTTCACATGAATAAAGTATTAGGAATTACTGATTTTATAATATTTTCTCTTCATTTTTTTGCCCATGGAAATTTCACGATAGTAAGACAGTATTATTTTCCTTATTTTGTGTACTTCAACATCTGCTGAAAAAAATAATAGCACAGAATATTCTTTAAGATTTTACTTTCTAGAAGCACAGAATGGAAAATTGATTTTACTTTTGTGGAAAAATATGTCAAAGTGAAAAACTGATTAGATTTATGAAAGGTAATATTTTGCTAAGAAATGGAAAATAATAAATTCAGTGTAAAATATGTCTTGAAAGTTTTAATCTTAGTTGTACCAATAAGATCAAGCATCAATCTTCTGAAACAATGAATATTCAATAGACAAATATTTGATTTTTTCTTTTTACTGTGATTTTTGTAAAAGTTCACATAGCAAATTGATTTTGATTCATGACACTGATTGTAATCCCCACAATGTGTCAGCACCCTTCCCACTTCTTCTCTGTGTTTGCCCTTGGTATTTGTCATCCTTTCCTATCCCTTCCTGCCTTCTGAGCTTTATCCCTGAGGAATGCCGTCCTTTTGTTCTCTTATGGTTGATTCTTCTAAGAAGTGCATACCTCCCTGGTGTTATTATTCATCTTATAGGCCTGTCCATTGTTTGGTTGGAAAAAAGTTAATCCATGGAGATGAGCTTGGTTCCAGGCCTGAAGGGTGTCTAAGAACCATAGTCTTGGGGGTTGCACCAGTCTTTGTCAGACCAGTAGGTCTGGCCTTTTTTATGATTTTGAGTTTTGTTCTACATTTTCCTCCCATCCTCTCTGGGACCTCCTATTGTGATCCCTTTCACAGAGCTCAGCAGTGGTAGCAGGGCACCATCTAGTTCTTCTGGTCCTGGTTGTTGAAAGTGGAGTTTGTGCGATCCATTAAGCCTTTAGAGTAATTTTTTCCATATATCCTTGATTTTCTTTGCTCTAATTTTCTCCAGATGTGGTGAGACTATAAGAATACCTTATTTTTATTAGACTAAAGAACACTTTATAATATTTCTCGATTATCTAAAATTAAAATAAGTAGGAAATTGATTTAATTTGTGATTGTTCTGTTGAATCAATTCCAAAGTTAGGTTAGTCACTCTGAAGCATTATTTAAATTATGACCACATTTTTTATGGATATGAATTATCCGTACTGTATTGTCTCTTATAAACATTGTAAATAATACTTGACTGTTTCAGATGGGCAGGAGTTGGATAAAACTATAACTAGAGAACTAAAAAAAGGTACATTGACAAATGTATCAGTTAATTTTAGATACTCATTTTTGAAATAAACTAGTAAATGGCATTATTCTGTTTTTGGATAAATAGATAGTATGTTAAATATTTCTTTATACACATATAATGAAAGAGACAATAAGCATAAATATTCATAACAAAGTATATCATTATTCCTAATACCTTCCTCTTGTTCTCAATCTTTAAAAAGTCTTTAAAAGTTGGTAGATCCCTTTTTATTTCTGGCTGAACTCTTCCTTCTCTTCTGCAATCCCTGTGAGCTGTCACCTTGTACACTGAAATTATTCTGAGAGTCCATAGGCATCACTAAGCTCTCATGTCAGGGGAGTAATAAAAATCAGAGAGAGTCATCTAATGGTTGCCAAAAGGGCAAGGAGGCCAAATGTTCTGACCTCATCAAACCACACAAAAGGAAGACAGAATCACCATCAGTAGCCCAAGGCCTATTACTGCCAGACCAGACATGCCGCCTCCCTCCAGCCCTTTCACCAGCTGTTCCTCCCAGAGCACCCACCAACTCTCTCCTGGGTTTGATAATTCACTGCAGTGGCCACACAGAACTCACAGATTACAGGGTTTATTAGGGAAGCACCAGGCTACAATTCAAGTTCAAGAAGAATGCTCAGTCTCTCCCAGCCTGCTGTTTTTCAGCTAACAGTCTCTCACTGTCTCTCTCAGTCTCACATGCACACAGCAGTGTGTGTCCCTCGGTATCTCTCTCAGCAATGCATGTCTCTTGAGTCTCTTTCCCAGCATCAAGTGTCTCTCAGGGGTGTGTCCTTCCTCAGCCAGCAATCAGAGACAGACTTCTTCTGCCTCTAGAAGGCCTCCTCTTGTGCCTGGCAGAGTGGCCAAACTAATAATAACATTGGGGTTCTAAGCATGTAAGAGAGAGCAGGAACCTCCCAGAACATTGCTTTGTTTTGCACCCAACAGAAATACCCAAGCTGGATAACTTTTACAATCAGGAGCTCCTCAGATGCTCACAGCAAATTCCACCACAGAGTTTACAAAGACTGATCACTAGAAAAGCCACACTAAGTAATTTACTACACCGCATGCTAGTCGAGTGATCACAGTTCAAAAGGCTCTCACATGACTGATGACATTTTGTGTCTGATCATTCACTTTGTCATTGGCTTCCTTTTGCCCTCAGAATAAATTCCAAATTCCTTGTCATGGAATAAAGACACTCAAATCAGTTTGGTTCTTGCCAAGTTATTCAGCCTTAAATTTTGCCACTTGCCCTTGTTCTCCCCTTTTGCTCTAGCATCTAGTCAGACTAGTCTCCTTATAGTTCCTCAGTGTTCTTCCTCACCTCTAGCTCTGCATATGCTTGTTCCTTCCATCTGGTATAATTTTCACTTGTCCTTCAGGTATGAACACATACAACCTCCACCAAAAAGCCCATAATAATCGACATAAAACTAGATAGATGTGCCTGTGTGTTCCAGTTGTGCCCTATTTTTATGTCTATCATGGTATATATTACTGTATGAAAATTGTCTGTTCATCTGCTATTTATTCAGGTTATTATATACAGTTGTTCAGAGTAGGCTGTGTAATTTTCATCTTGAAATTCCAGTGCTTTTCATAGTACCTTACATGTGGTGATCGAATAAATGAATGAAGCATAAGAAAACCAGAAGCTCTGACACTTAACCACAATGACAGTTAATTCATTGTGCAAATATGTGCAGTTATCTTTAATAGTAATCTCATATTTTATATTATAGTCATATGTATTTTTCATTTTTACTAACACTGATAAAATTCTCAATCTTCTTTTTACTGACTTACACTCAGTTAGTTAGTTAAGGGTAGAGACAAAACAGGCCCCACTGAGAGACAGGAAAGGGAGGGAAAGCCAAGGACAACAAAGCAGCAGGATCCAGGTAGGATCCAGGTAATGGGAGGGTGGAGAGTTTTCAAACCGCTAAGGGAGACGAACTTGTTTGTCACTTTGTCCTACTGTGGTGGCTTGTCTGTTGCTGTGAGGTTTGAGGCTGTGCCACTGGTGTTTCAAGCACCAGCAGGGTTGCACATGATGCACAGTTTCAACACAGCTTACAGACTGAGACAGACTAGGAAGAAAGAAGAGGCCATCCACTTCTCAAAGAATTTGCCAGGGAAAACCTTATGAATAGTGGAAAAACACTGTTCAGATACATTACTGAGCAACTTTATGAATAGCCCACAAACAGTCCAATGCAGTGCAGGAGGATGAGCCCCTTAGGTTGGAAGGCACTCACAATATGACTTGGAAAGACCTGCTTCATCAGAGTATAACCAACCTTAATGATAGGGATCAAGTAAAGCTTTTGGGACCTCCATTTGCTGACATGGCATGACTCAAATTGAGGAAAATTGGAAGTTGTCAGAAATGAAATGGAATGCATAAAGATTGATATTCTAGGCATCAGTGAGCTGAAATGGACCATTTTTGGCCATTTTTAATCAGATGACCATATGTGTTGGCAATGACAATTTGAAGAGGTGTGGCATTCATCAATATGAAGGATGTTTCAAGATATGTCCTAAAGTACAATGCTGTCAGTGATAGGATAATATCAATATGCCTACAAGGAATTTGACTGCTAACCAGTAGGCTGGTGGTTCAAACCCACCAGCCACTCCTCAGAAGGAAGATTGGATGATTTACTTCTGTAGAGATATCTCCTCGGAAACCGAAGGAAAGGTTGCTATGAGTCAGATCCAAACTCGCTGTTACTTCAGTTAATACTACAATTATTAAAATTTACACATCAACCACCAAAGCAAAAGATGAGGAAATTAAAGATTTTTATCAACTTCTGCAGTCTAATATTGACTGAACATGCAATCAAGATGTGTTCATTATCACTGGTGACTAGAATGCAAAAGTTGGAAACAAAGAAGAATCACCAGTAGTTGGAAAATTTGGCGTTGGTGACAGAATTAACACTGGAGATAACATAATAGAATTTTGCAAGACCCACAACTTACTCACTGCAAATACATGTTTTTCAACAACACAAACAGCAGCTATACATGTAGACTTCATCAGATGGAGTATACATGGATCAGATTGACTACATCTTTGGCAAGAGGCAATGGTAGATCTTTATCCATTTCAGGAGCTGGCGTGTGATCAAGAACCAATGATACTGAAGGAAGAAGGTGAAGCTGCACTGAAGCAATTGCCAAAGAACAAGGCTCCAGGAATTGACGGAATACCCATTGAGATGTTTCAACATCACAGATGCCTCACTGAAGGCACTCATTTGGTTATGCCGAGAGATTTGGAAGAAAGCTACCTGGCCAACTGACTAGAAGAGATCCATATTTGTACCCATGCCAAAGAAAGGTGATCCCACAGAATGTGGAAATTATAGAATAATATCATTAATATTGCATGCAGGTAAACTCTTACCGAAGATAAATCAAAAATGATTGCAGCAGAATATTGACAGCGAATTTCCAGAAATGC